TGCTTCTCCTGTCCAGACATGGCCTACCTTATGGAGGAAGGGTGGAAGAAATGGTTCTGTATTTGTCAATAAAAGGTGTGTGTTTGCGCATGTGTGAAATGATAAGCAAGGAAACAAAAAAGCCACACCTATGTGCTACAGGCAAGCCTGTGCATGCCATACCTCAACAGTTTAGCTGTCCTACTTCGCTTCTCTCAAACCGAAGGAGTACATTTGAATTGGAGACTACATATCAGAGCGGTGTAGCACATCGTGTTCGTATGGCTCATTCAACTCTGAGCTGAATCTTCAGTTTGGTGTCGTTATGGTGAGGTGAGTAGTCAACTTAGCTTAAACAAGTACTGTTTAGGAAATGCGGTTTATTGACAACACTACTGATATAGTTTGTCTGAGGAGAACAAAACAGTTTTCACAGGTCTTTATGCCAGTTAATATTGTAAGGACTGGACAACACAACTTACAGATACTGTTGAGCCTTAAAATGTTCAGAGCGTTTAGGTATTTGAGGTTTGTACATCTCATTTATAACAAATAACAAAATGTGTACTTCCTACTTTCTTCCACAATGGAAAAAAGCATTAGTTGCACCGCTCCTTTAGTTTTCTGTTGTTGCCTAGTTTCATTTTCACTTAGTTTTACATACCGAGTGCTAGAAATTGCTCTCTGGAGATCTGCCCCAAGACCTACTGGTAGCTCATATTTTCACAGCATTTGCATTAAAATTACTACATTTGTGCTACAATGCCATTCTTTTTTTTTTAGATCAGAGGGTGGATAACTGCAGCATTTTTCTTTATAATGTGTTAAAATTCAAGAACAACACAAATCAGCAAATCCAAAAGAATGAAAGCTGAATACTAAAACTGAACATTATAACCTCTCTGAATGATTTATTCATGAAGAATTTTCAAGCACCGCTGTAACAGACAGCATTAGTTTTAACTAGGTGCAAACTACCTGTTAAACTGCTGAGTGACAGTGAGGTGACTACCCTGTGGTGGGACTGAATTAATTTTTCATCTCAAGGTTTCTACAAGCTTTGTAAATATATGCATAGTTAAGAAGAATGATACAGTTTTACATGTGTTTAAAGTAAATACAACCTACTATAAACAGTCATGAAAAAAAGTGCACCCCATGGTTCAGTAGCTTTTAGAAAAGACTTTAGCACGAATGACCCAAAGTAATCATTTTCTGTATGACTCTGTCACATCACTATGAAGGAATCTTTTCCCACTAGTCTTCTAAAAGTAGAGAAGCTTCTAAAACGTTGCTTCAGTTGTGGGCATTCATTTATGCACAGCTCTCTTAAGGCCCCAACACAGCAATCAGGTTTTCGTAATTTAATTTTTTTCTTTTTCAGCCATTCTGTTATAAATTTGCTGTTTCAGCTAAACTTTACCTGTCAGAAAAATAGCCTGTGTGTTGAGACACAACACAACACTCTAGACTGTGTCATTATTTATTCTTGTTAAATAAATAACACATTATAATATGTTTCGTAGTTAACCTGAAGCTGTACTTACATAATTGTAAAAACTGCTAAAGACCAGAATTGGCCCATTTAAGCATTCGTGTGAAGAGTTAAAGAAGTTCTAAAGCTCAAAGATTTTTTTTCTTTCCGTAACCACAAACAATCACGTGAAAAGGAATGAGGTGAAATGCCTAATTTAAGGTCAATTCAGTGCTGGCTTCAGGCTGTTTGAATTTGAAAATTGACTTTCACCAGATCATATTTTTCAGATGTGCCAGCTTCATTAGTGCATGATGTGTTTCATTATTATTTATTCCAGGCCATTGGAGGCTTCATTAGCTGCAGGCTGATGCAGCATGCAGCCTCTAAATTTAGCAGGCTTTTATTTATTCAGAATAGCCGCGTGTTGGATGATATGCCCAGTTGTCATGTTCTCTCACAGCAGACATGTCGAAAAAAGAGGTGGGTTGGTCTGGGGAGAAATGGGCCTCATTCCACCTGTGCCACCCCCACCAGGCGTCTGTATCTGCTCAGCTCTTTGAAGCCTCTTTAATTCCAGCGTTAAGGATTAAGCCCATGAAAAAAAAGGATAAAAAGTGACAGAGTGACAGAAGGAGACATCTTAGGAGAGAACAGGCTCTTTTGAAATATGTTAAGAAATTCGTTTGCACTGACCCACAATGCAACATCTGAGGGAAATTTGTGTGACACATTTTTTTGTCTGATCAGGGACTGGCCATAGGATTTGCATGAATAGGAAAAGCACCCTTTGAAGTTGCAGTTGTAAGTGATTCTGGAGTTTTCTGAAACCTAAATGAGTGTCCAGAGATGATTGTCCTTGAATTTGTGGTCTGAGAAAGTTTTATTGGGAGTTAAAAGAAATCAAGTAATTTTTTTTGTCACAGGATACTACTGACATAATCCACTTTTTTTCTGTGTGGTATGTCATATCAGGGTAAATTGATAGTAAAGGGGATATTATAGTTTTTAGTGAAAGACACAGAGTCATCTATCTACACCATGTCTGTAGACAATCCATTAAAAAGTGGGAATTGTACATTGTGGCAGTATACAAACAGCTGTTTAATTTCATTCTGTAGGTGTGCAGATATGCAGTAGGTGTAATTGTATGTACAGGAGTGTGCTGACAGTGTTTTTGACAGGTATGTTCTTAAGCAGAAAAAATGCACATTAAAGGTCATGTAGCTTGTTAGACTACCTGAATCTGTCTAGTCAAAACATAATAATAGTCAGATGGCACCTTTATATGATAAATTTAGTATACCAACTTACATACTACATACAATGTCACCCTAAATTTGCTCAGAGTACAGTTTTTGTTTACAGATCACAGAGCTGCTGATTTCATCCTATGGTGATTTTTTTCCTTTAATACCATTTTTTCCTTTTAGTTTTTCTCTGTGGACATTTTTGCAGTTTTCCACCTCACTTTGTCAGTGAAAGTTGTCTCTGTTTTGCTTTTGATGTCAACATTTTGAGGCTGTGAGGCTGTTTTGCAACTCGTGCAGTTTCTGTGAAGCTTCCCTGAAAACTCAAGCACAAGCGTTATTGTCCTGCCGCTTAAAGCTGACACGGGCTTGTAATTGCCGATGGATATGTCCTTTGAAATTGAAGTTGTGTTACTTTAGAGCTGAAATAATAGTTTACATAATATACCCTTTATTTTGTCCACTCTGTACTGTGCACGTAAACTCAAGATTTCTTTTCTGTTTTTTTGGTCTTTTCCTCTCAGTTAAATCTTGGCATAACACTTACCGCCCCTCCTTAATTAAAGCTGTAAAAAAAGCTGCCGCACACATTTCTGTCCTGAATAAGCAGAGAGAGGGATTTTATTGCACCATTCCCATTTTAATGGAAATATTTAAGACTATGAATTGAAAAGGGCACAATACATTTATGTAATGAAATGGGTTAAGGGGGGGTGGATAGTTTGAGGCAGTAAATGGGGGGGGGGGGGCTAAAAAATCAAGAAATCGAATTGTCTACTTAAATGAAAATGAGTGTTGCCAGTGAAATTAACGGCCATGCGCGCGCGCCCCCCCCCCCCCCCCTCCCCAGGCAAATGTCCAATCAGTGGTCTTCCCACTTAGTCCAGTGAGCAAAGGCAGGTTGACATAATAAGACACAGTTTTGGCAAGTGACTTTGACAAATGTGTCTGTGAACTTGACTGGCAAGATAATATGAGGAGGAGGATACTACTGAGTGTGTGCAAGACTGAAACCACATGCAAACATACACTAACATTTGCTGTGTGGGCAATGGCTGCTTCAAAGCCACCTGCAGTTCCATATTTACCACAGCCTGCGCAAACAGCAGTGAACGAAGGCTCCGCAGGCACCTGCTGTTAGCCGGTACATGAAGCTGTCTGTAGTTTACAAGGATGTTGTGTGATCATATTTCCTGAGACAAAACAGTGTACTTCCTAAACACATTGTGCGGCTGTTAGGGCGGAAAAAAAGCAAGTGTAAATGAAGTTGGATGTGATCCAAGCTTTTTAAAGAGTTGTTTATTGTGTTATGGGTTGAGATCTAGTTGTTATCCTTGTCTTTTTTACCCCTACACAAACCAGTTTTATTTTTTTCACCAGTGATGGCTTGAGATAAGTCAATTGAATTCAACCCCCTCCCCCCCGTAATATAACTGGATCAGGGAGTTGAGTCAGACACAAACACCTACGCCATGCGCTGTCATCTCGAGGCAGTTTTTAAATGGTTTTAGCCCCATAACTTAAATCTGTGACTCTAAAGTGGGATATGCTTCATGTGTTGTACACCTTAAAATCCCAGTTCATTCAAATTACTTCCTGTTACTTTTGTATATACACTAGGCTATAACTTCAGGTGTATAGCCTAGTGCAACCCTATTAATGTCTCCATGTGCAGATTTTCTAAAAATACACTATATTGCCAAAAGTATTCACTCACCCATCCAAATCATTGAATTCAGGTGTTCCAATCACTTCCAGTTGAATATAATCAAGAAGCTAGGCATGTAGACTGCTTCTACAAACATTTGTGAAAGAATTTGTCACTCTCAGGAACTCAGGGAATTGCAGTGTGGTACCCTGATAGGACGTCACCTGTGCAGCAAGTCCAGTCGTGAAATTTTCTCGCTACTAAATATTCCGCAGTCGCAGTCACAGTCAGTGGGTGTTTCCTATTCCAATGTGCCAGTGCACACTGTGTGCCAGTGCACAAAGCAAGGTTCATACAGACATGGATGACGGAGTTTGATGTAGAAGAACTTGACTGGCCTGCACACAGTCCTGACCTCAAACTGACCCTCAGCCCCTCCCAGTGAAGCAGGCTTGTTGCTTAGAACCAGTGTAAAGACAACTGATTTACCTTCAGTTTTATGTATGAGTATATGTGTATGTATGTGGGGTTATATTAACTACACACAAACCCTTTGTTGATGTGTCATGTTGCTGATAGTTAATGTGCATTTAAAGTTCCATTTAACTTCATTAATAATAAAACACTTCTTCCTTTCTGTTCCTTCCAGAGATGGCAAGCTGGGTCTCCATCCTTCTCTTCCTCTTCTGGCTGTCAGTCTCTCAAGCCCAAGGGGGGAGTGGAAAAATCCCCACTGTGGAATTCATCTCTGAAACCCTGATTAACAATGTGGTCCAGGACCCACAGACTGGTCGCATCTACCTGGGAGCAGTCAACAATATCTTCCAGCTGAGCCCGTCCCTCCAGAAGGAGGCCCGCACTGAGACGGGCCCAAAAAAAGATGCCAAAACATGTACACCTCCTGCTTCAGGCTGTCAGGACACAGTGCTCATGCCCAACAGCAACAAACTTCTGCTGGTCCACCCATCCAATGGTTCACTAATAGTATGTGGCAGTCGGTACAGAGGCATATGTTCCCTCCTCAACCTGTCTAATGTAGAACAAGAGTTGTATTACAATGACAACAAAGGAGAGAGGACTTACGTGGCTAGCATAGAGGATAATGTGAACGTGGTGAGCGTCATGTCCAACTACACAAAAAATGGCCGGACCTTCAAAGTGTTCCTTGTTGGAAAGGGCTATGGAAGCCTGGACAGTACAAAACTAATCAGCACACGAATCCTTGAGGACTACCAGGACTGGGTTGTGTTTGAGAACATCATTGAGGCATCAGCGGTACAGACGGCGCCATTTGTCCTCAAGTACTTACACGACTTCCAACATGCCTTCAAAGAGGATGGTTTTGTGTATTTCCTCTTTTCTCGGACTCTCGATGGCACAGATAACAAAAACTTGACTTTTGTGTCTCGTCTTTGTGAAAATGACCAACATTACTATTCGTACACAGAGCTCCAGTTAACCTGCGGTACAAACAACCGGTACAACAAAGTCCAAGCTGCATATGTGGCTTTTCCAGGAAAAGAGCTGGCACGGGTCATGTCTCAATCTGGTAATTATGGGACGGTCACCTCATTCACAAAAGTCCTCTTCATGGTGGCTCATCCAGATGACGACGAAAGCGACTCTGCTCTCTGCATGTACCCGCTGAACTCCATCAATCAGCAGCTGATGGATATAATCAGTGCATGCTACAGTGACTCTGGGGAGATTTCTGGGGTTCCTGCTGTGGACGTACCCTACTCATCTCAAACCTACACAGCATGCACTTCAAAAATTTCTGTAAGTGCTTCTTTGTCAGCTGACTCTAATTTAAAAGAATGTTTTGAAAAACTCAGATTAGTATAATCTTTAATGCAGTTATCACTTTTTATTATAAAATCTCAACATTTAATTCGTTCCCTGGATAACTTGTAATCTGACCAAGTCTTAAAAAACAAGGCTCATACACTTCCTTTACAATGCAACAGTGTCCAATGAGAATTTGTGAAAGACACAATTCTTGTAGTCTCTGTACACCACCACAGTGGATTTTAAATCACACAATCAAGACGTGGCTAAAGTGCAGACTTTCTACTTTAATTAGGGGGCTTCAGTATTTTTTGGGGTTTTTTGTTTAGCATTTGTCTGAATCTAAGCAGAGAGTATAGCCCTGTACACTTCACATTTCATCCTTCTGTTTCTGTTTCGATCAGCAGTCACAGTAATCAGACAGTAGTGACCCAGTTTCAGTGGCAGCTATATATGCCCAATCTGATCATGAGCTGCTTCTCACCCCTCCATATTTTTCTCTACCCATCATTCTGGTTCAGGCTGTTAATCTTGGTCTAAGAAGGTTGGAAAGAAAAGCGTCTGGACTTTAAGTTGCTTGAAGACGTTTCACCTCTCATCTGAGAAGCTCCTTCAGTTCTAGGGTCAAATGGTGGAAAGTTCCAGATTTAAGCCCTGTGGGAGGATTCCCCCAAAAGGGACAATATATTCTTTTCCTAATCACACAAGCCAAGGTGTAAAAAAAGGGGTGTAGGTCCCAATCAGCCAAGGTTTCGGATAAGCTCATTGTGAAACCTAGCCCCACCCTATCATGTGATTTCTTGAGGTCAAATGGCCCAGGATGCAAGTGGCCGTGAAGGGATCTCAAAACTTGATTATAGATAGCAGACAGTTGGTGTCGTAAGCCACCGCCTCTGTTCAAAGATGGCTGTCCACAGTGGACATAGATGGCTTCTTTCACTTCTCTTTAAATCTGGGACTCTCCACCATTTGACCCTAGAACTGAAGAAGCTTCTCGGATGAGAGGTGAAACGTCTTCAAGCAACTTAAAGAAGTCCAGACACTTTTCTTTCCAAGCTCCTTAGACTACGATGACATGGATGACTGAGAACCTTCACAGACATGCTGTTTATCTTCAATCAATCAATCAATCAATCTTTATTTATAAAGCACTTTTCATACAAAAAAAATGTAGCACAAAGTGCTTTACATAGTTAAAAGCAGCCCACCCCACCCTCCAACTCACTCCCCACACTCTCATTAACATAAATGATGTGAATACACACATATCTCCCCCCCCCCCCCCCCCCCCCCCACACACACACACACACACACACACACACACACACACACATACACACACGCGCACACTTAAAGAGTAAAAATTGGGCTGGGCTCGCAAGAGCCAAGTGAGGAAACACTATAACAGGGAGCTGTCTGCACCGGGAGCCGGTCACAGACCGCAGCCTCCAGGCTGGGCACACAGCAGGAGGGAGGCAAAGGAGCCCCCCTTGGTTTCACCTATCCAAAGATTTTTTTATTTCAGAACTGTAAAGGTTCTTTCAGATTTTCTTTGGCAAAGTTTAATCTGATCCTCTTGTTATTGAGTGTAACCGATAGTTTGAACCTTGTTCTATTCCCATTCATGGAGGTGTTGTGATATGTCTACCACCCCTGGGTGTTTTTGACTTAGATGTTATGAAGCCATTTTTCTTATCTATGGAAATAATTTTTCTCAGGTCTTTATGTGTTGCTGAGCTGGCCATTTCATTCCTTATTTTCTAAGAAAGTACCAGATTTTAAATTTTTTTTTATTCCTGAAGTTTTTATTATTTCTGTCCAACCATCTATTCGCTTCCGCTTATCCTTTTTCAGGGTTGTGAGGGGCGTCTGGAGCCTATCCCAGCTGTCTTAGGGTGGGAGGCAGGGTACACTGTGGACAGGTCACCAGATTCTGGTTTATTTTTTCAGCTGAATGCTAGCCTATCTCACTTGCACTGACATGTATTTGGGGATTTTTATTTACAATTAGAAAGAAAAGCTATAAAATGTAAATTCGACACTTCAAACCACCTTCAAATATTACGTCCACTTCATTTGTCATGAAGTAACAAGGGAACTGGCCTCACCTGGAACTACTTGTCAGTCGAATATCCAGTTGGTTTTAAACCTCTAAAAAAGGGGGACTGTGTATAAAAATGGCTCAAATTCTCAAAGAAGTTTTGGCAAAGATTTGCTAAAATGCCTTGAGTTAAAGCTTAAAGTTTAACTTCAATCACTTATTGATTGTTTGATTTAGAACCAGCCTTTGTGGTGTAGAAAAATAAAACCACCAAAATTACGCCTTTGTTGAAGTTATGGGCCGAACTTTAATATGGATCACTCTCCTCTCTCCATGTACTAAATACACTTGTCAAATTTGGCGGTCTATTCATGTTTTAAAATTTTCCCTTTGCTGCCTCTGACATGTCAAGACCGCTGCTACCCTGCACCACTGGTTGATATTTTAGCTGTTTCACATCTCCAGCTCCCACCATAGGGTCTGCAGCTGTAGGGTATTTACTTTAGAGAGACTGAGCTTAATACCGAGATCAGTACCTACTCAGAAATAATTGAAGTATTCCATGAACAATTTTAATATGCCAAAGACTTTTTTAGTTATGGCCCAACTTAACTGGTTATTTTACATTTTTTACTTGCATGTATTAGTAGTTTCTTGTTAAGTGATCGTTAACACGAGTTTTCCTATTTTTCTCGTCTCAGACTTCCAACTCTAAAGCAAATACTTACTTGTAATTTTTATTCATTATTTTAATTCATTATTGTAATCAAAGAAATGATCAGTCAAAACAAAGCCAATTTTAGATTGTAGATTAAAATAGTCGAGTGTTCAAAGCACATTTCCCATCTCTGTTATAAAGTTTAAGTAGGATACGAACAGTACTGCAAAGACAGTTAATGTTATTGGAGTGAAAAGCAAGCAATGTCTGATCGTCCCTTCTTGTTATCCTTTCCCTTTACAGAAGGATGCATTGGGAAACTTCAAGTGTGGTGCAGAACATTTGCTTTCGCCTCTGGCAAGCAAGCCAGCATTTGCCTTAAAGGCAGATGCAGCGTTGACCATGTCGGTCCATCTGACTGCTGTAACTGTTGCTGTGGAGAATGACCACACGATCGCCTTTTTGGGCAGCGCCAACGGAGAGGTCTTCAAGGTTGAGTTCTCTTGTGGTTTTTTTTGTTGGATATTTTTTTCCTCAGTTTAAACTTTTATCTGAGGGAAGGTGTATCAAGTGAATTTAAAACCTCAAATTTCTCTTACCTTTTGTCTTTTGTTTATTTTGTCCAGGTACACCTGAGACCAGGTGAATATGGCAACGAGCCGTACTCCTATGTTGGCAACAACATAGGAGAGAAGGTCAACAAGAACCTTTTCCTTGACCAAAGCCAGAGCCACCTCTACATTACCACAGAGAAAAGGGTGTGTGTGTATATTTAACACTTATTATACATTAAAATTCTGGCAGAGTACCTCCTGGTGCTAAGACTGAGCTCCACAATGACTGTATTCATTTAAAAGAGAAAAAATTGATCCAAACCCAAAAACTATGCTGTGGTTATGCACGGAGAAAAGCCTGTATGGTGCCACTGTAGAAAGCTGCCTTGATTAAAATGAGAGATGTTGCTTTCAAAATGTCTTATAATATAAAACAAAGTGTTAATAGCTCTGCTGAGCAGCCTCAGTCTAATGTGGAGAGGAAAGCTCACTGTCTTAGAGAGCGGGCACATACAATACCATTTAAATATTGAGATGGTATTTTTAGAAGGGAAGACATGGACTTCACAGATCACAATCAAAAGTAGCAACGCTAGCTGCATTAAGAATAGATAAACAGATCTATACAGAATCATGGCTTTGTTCTTACATCCACACAGCTGACCAATCACAGCACGAGTATTAGCATTTTATAAAAAATAAATAAATATATAATAATCAAAATTATTTGCTCCATTGCTTTTTTAAGTTTGCGATTTCAGAAGTTTTGCTTTCATTATATTGACTCACATCTGTTTCTGCAGAGGGGGAAGAGTTTCTAATGTTGATGCTGTTAAACATTCAGATTTTATCGGAAAAATACTGATGTCTTGAAATAAGATCTAATGGATTGGCTTTTACATGTAAAAAAGAAAACAATTTCACGCTGGTTACAGTAAACATTCAGTGCTTTGTGTTGAATAAACTAAGTAATTAAACATGGGGAGAAGACAGGAGAGACCCCACTCGCTCCCACTCTGCACACCTGCAACATACTAAGGAACATTTACAGCTACACTTTAAATACTTGTTATTTTTGTCCAGTGTCTCCCGTAAGGTGCACCTTTGATCATATTTCACGTTGTAATAATCCAGATCACCAAGGTGCCAGTGCAGACGTGCCTCGAAATGAAAGACTGCCAATCATGCGTGGGACTGAGGGACCCTTACTGTGGCTGGTGTGTTTTGGAGGGCAGGTAAGGATCTCACACACACACACACACACACACACACACACACACACACACACACACACACACACACACACACACACACACACACACACACACGTACATTCTTACATGCATTTACAAATGCATGCACACAGCAACAGACTAACACAAACACCCACACATGCAATTCCATCTGTAAAACACAGCAGGATATTTGTTCAGTGTTTTATTGCAGACACTTTTAGTACCCCTCAGTGTTTATATTCCATCTCCTGTTGTCCGTGCAGCCGTAAGGAATTAAAGCTGTTTGTCAGCCCCACACGGCGAAGGCAGGCTGTGCAATTTACTCTCATCAGTCTATATTTATCAGGGTCTGGAGGGTAGAAAAGTGCGCATGTATCATGTGTTTTACAGGGATGTGATCATGACTAGTAAAAAGAAGCAAACTCTGTCCCTCTGGAACTATCTGATATATCCGATGCTCTTACTGTGCAACATTGTGCATGCTATTTAGTATTAGAGCTGAAATCTATTTATCAGTTGATAAGTCAATTGACAGAATATGAATCAACAACTTTTCATAAAGAATTAATCAATTCAGTCATTTCTCAGGCAAACGATTCGATGATTTGAGCATTTGAATAGGATAATTCTGCAATTTTTCTTTTCCTTCAATTGCTCCAAATGATTTGAAGCAGTGCTTAGTTCGTTTGCTTCTCATTTATGAAAAAAATTCAGTCCGCGTGATTTACAGTGCAAATTTGATGTTGCATTATATCCTGTACTTCTGTTTATGTGCACAATATCAGTTCATCTCTATGTTAGTTTGTATTTCCTTCAGAGTATGTATTTTAGTCTTTGCTGCATTTAGTGCTAGATTGATTTTATCAAAAAGAAGTCACATGTTTTTATCGCTCCTGTGTATTTTGTCTGATTGCAAAGTCATTTTTTGTCTTTAACAGTTTCATTTCTTGCATCATTACATAATATGAATAGCTTCATTAAAATTATGTCCTATTAACCAAATACCTTAGATGATCACAGCTGGGAAGCTTGAACAAAGGAGTATTTTTTTAGTACTTTGCTTAAAGGTTATATATATATATATATATATATATATATGACATGACCCTACTAATGTAGTTACCATTGAGGACCTTGCATGTTTTTCTTTTTGATACATAAATCTTTATTTTGTGCACAGACCCTGCTGGAAGTCACGTAGGCATTGAGTTGTTATTTACAAACTGACTTTTTGTGAAAGCATTCATGGCATGTGCAGCTCAGGCTGATGGGATTTTCTCATCCTTCGTCTGAAGGTGTACCAGGAGGTCTGAGTGCCGACGGGCAGAGGAGAAGAATGGCTGGTTGTGGAGCCCCAAGCAGCAGTGTGTCAAGATTGTATCCTTCTCTCCTTCAAACCTTTCCTGCAGAAAGACCGGCAAGGTACAGCTCTGTTTGTTCCTCACTCAAACTGTCTCTGACTTCCTTTGTTCTCTTTTATTGTCCCTCTTTTCTCTGCAGTACCTAACTTCACTTACATGCAGAGACTGAGTAATAAACTGGGAATCAAAGACCTCAAGCTCTAGGTCTTCCAGCTCTGTATTGATCCACCCAGAAAAATCCAAACTGTCTTATTATAACCTGCATGGCTGATTGTCTGAAGATGGAGAGCCTCTTCCTATTCCCCCATTTTTTACTTCTTCTGTGTTCCTGCCCGTCTGACTCACACATGAATTCCCATCAGCAGCATGTCACTCCTTTCTCTTTCTCAGTTTCTTTCTTTAAAAAGAGAAACAGTTTCTTTATTATAACTTTGGTTACACAGAGATACAAATTCAGTGAGATGTTACGGGCTAAGAAGCCACAGTTTCCAGTCAGTATGTTTTTGTCTGTCCAGGTGAACATCAATATTCCCTCCCTTCCTACCATTGGACACTCTGACCGTCTGCAATGCAAGATTGAGTCTTTCCAGAGTAACGGCATCATGTCAGACTCTGGTGAGGTCTCCTGTGATCTGCCCCAGCCTGGGCTTATACCGAAAACACCTGAGGGCCAAGGTATGGTCTCTTTAATTCCCCTGCCATGTTTCTGTCGTCTTTAAGGTCTAATGTCTGTGCTTCTCCATGATGGTTAACGCTGCATTACTAACTGGCCAAGGTGGGAAATGGGCTGAAAAAAACATGAGGTTAAGTTAATGTCAGCTGGCAAATTCTCCATCATTTTGTTGAAGAACTTACAGTGTCCAACAAATTTGCACCAGAAAATTGCACGAAATCAACACACTAATCTAATTTAAGCTTTATTATTTCAGTTTATAGTTTTTTGTATCAGTAGTCAGCAAACATCTTGCCCAAAACAAAGTGAGTCCCATAAAAAAAGTCCTTTATAAAACAAAACATGGAACTTTTTTTAAATACAGCTCAAGTTTTGGCTTTTATACACTAATATGCAGTTCAGGCAGTTAAATAATCACTGAACTGATTCTGAGGAGATTTATCAAAATATTTAATCGCTCTGTTTTTTGTCTTTAAATGTACAAGCATACTTCACATCTTTTATATGATAAAACTTGTATTCACATAAACAGCTAGTGTATCACATTTTAACCACTGTTTTACTGTATCTTCAGACTTTGTGGCCGTGGCTATCAGGATCTTTGTAAATGAGACTGTGGAGTTGGCCACGCGGGAATTCATGTTCTACAACTGTGCTGCCACAGTGAGGAAATCTGAAAACACACCGTGAGTCAGGCTGTTAATCTTTCAGTTCTGCTCTGTCACTCAGTGAAAATACACAGTGACATGGAACACAGCATCATCTGACAACCTTGATGTAAATGTATCACCGTGCATGAGCAGATGAGAGATCAAGGCTCTGTTTGTAAATTGTGATGCATGGTGGTTTTGAATGCACCTCTTGCATTTTCGCTCCTGCTTCTATTACCAAGCCGAGGAAATTGCCTCAGTTTCTTTTTCATTAATCAAAAAAAGAAAGTCGATCCTGGCTGTTTTTTTTCCCCTCATTTTTTTCTGCATTTCTTTCACACAGAGGAACGTGTGATGAACGAGCTTTGCTTATGTGAAGTTGCAGAGATCCATTTCATTGTCAGCAACATAGATTTTTGTGCCGGACGCTCTCTTATGAGTTTGCATGTTTTAGATGTTGTTTGTGTGTGCTTTTGTGTGTGCATGCTCTACCCTGATTGTGCATGTGAAAGTATTTCCTTATCCAAGTTGGTCCATATTTCTGTGTTTTCAGGTGCATGTCATGTGTAAGCAGTCAGTGGGGATGTCAGTGGAACACGCAGGACCACACCTGCAGCGATGCGGACAACAGCGTGGTTGGTTCCCACATCATCAAGCACCGTCAGGTTAGTTCTTTCTAGAGCTGTGAGTTCAGTGACAGGTCAAGGACTCTTTTCTGTCATGTATGTGTGTGATAGATGTGGAGAACGACTATACCACAAGTTTTAAAGGACACATCTAAACTTTACATGTGATTCACCGCCTGAGTGGTCCAAACTCCTCCTGAAAAATTAATAAATACACAAATCCCACTATCAGCTGCCACCATCTTGCATGACAAACGTTGCAGGGTGGAGGATATCAGATTCCAAGTCAGCGGATGTTTCAGCGATATAGTTATCTGTCGCCACAGATGAGGGTGTCCGTTAAGTGGTTAGCATGTTTAAAATGTAAATTATTAAAGTATCTAATTTGTTTTCATTCTGTTTCAGAGCGCAAACTGTCCTCGGTTCGAGAATCCAGATCCTGTGCTCATCCCTGTGGGCTACAAGACTCGAATCAGCTTTGAAGGCATAAATCTGAAACATTACCAGGTAAACTGGCCCCACTCCACCCCCAACATGCATCTGAGTTCCAGGGAAAGAAACACTCTCTTTCTGTTTGTGGATATCCCTTTGACAGAAAAAAGGAAAAACACAACAGGTTCATTTTTAGGCTAAAAGAAAGGAGAATGAGCCAAACTTGTTTCAGTTTTTTCTACTCTTGCATCTGTTAGTGATCTGTAAGTGATGATACCGCACTCTTACCAACTGTTTAAATGTTGCAAATAAAAAAAAAAAGTTAACTTAAAGAGATTGAAAGGAAGCAAAAATGGCTCCTTTAGACAGTGAATGAACTTTGGGGGCCACACCAAAGTCCAATATAAGATAAATAAGGATTATTTTGTCTGTGAATCATGCAAAGCTACTCTGGTAAAGTTCGATTTTGGAATTTGAAGTAATGATAATAGTTCCCCTTTAACCCTCTCAGGCTCAAATTAAACTTTTTGTTGCTAATGCACAACCAAGTCCTGCAGTGGTACTTCTGAGTAAAAAAAAAAACCATAAAATATGTATGTGGGGTAATCAGGTTGTTAGTTTTTAACTGTTGCAAATCGGCAACGCCTGCCTTGAGAGGGTTAAGGCTGGAGTTTTCTGTTGGAAGAGGGCTTAAAACTTACTTTTTACCATTCAACCGTAGCGAACAGGTGTGAGGACACCCAACTTTGTGAACAGAATTACTCAAAAAATCTTGTGAATACAATAACTCAAGACGGACGTCTCCTTGGATGTTTAAACTTACCATAGGCAAATCAAGGAAGTTAAGGGGTGGCACTGGGGACCGTCAGTATTTTTGTTTTTGTCATGATTATGCAGAGTATCTTTCCACATGAATAACATTACAAATCCCAATTCTTACTATCAGACAGCAATATAAGCTGTAACAGTTCACTTAGTTGTCACAACATACATCTTGATCATTTTCTTTGAATGTGTGAGTTCTGATGGACTTTATTGGTGCAGGTTCCCGGGGATCCATTCATGTTTCATCAATCAAGGTTTTGACAGCTGATCTTTTACAGCTGTGAAAATCTACATTTTTAAGCCCTGCGTGAAGGTTTTGTAATCACACAGCTTTCTGGGCTGTTTCCCTTTTGGTTGTTGTGTGTATATGTTCAGTGTTGCTGATTTGATTTTACACACTTGAGTAGGATCAGAGAAACTGCAATTGTTTCCATGCTCTATACAAAGAAGAGCATCAGAGAACAGTACTGTAAAAGTATGATCAGCATGAATACACATCAGCATTTTTGAGTTTGTTTGTGTAGTTCTGCAGGGTCATCATTTCACCATTGGCAGTGAGCTGATGACAAAGGAAGAAGATGTCTCGTTTGAGGGGGGACCATTCTACACATTCAGTGGCTTCAATGTGAGCATGACCCCTCGTTTGACATTTGTCTTGATGCAACACACTCAACACAGGTCTTTGCACTGTGACTGGTTTGTGGTCCTAGTATTCAAAGTACAACCTAGAAATACACTGAAAGAGTGAATGTATATATTCTGCAGCAAAAAAACTGTGTGAAGACTTTCTGTTTGTGAACAGCTGTATTTATGTTCCACATTTATAAAAGAAGTCAACCTTTAGCCTTTTTTCACATTCCCTTTGATATTCTCTAGCTCCCTCTAATGGACATGCTCCCCTCGCTGGAGAGTTAAACACCATCTCCACATTGTGAACTTTGTGATTGGGAAGCTCAAACAGTGCTTAGCCTCCAGCTATGTTCTTTTCTAACATTGATTTCTGTAGCTGAAAATCTGCCAGACTGGGTATATATTCTTTTTTCTTTCTTATTTTCCCTTGGCGTGGGGGAGCAGCAGCCCACACTGTTTGCAGAGAAGAGCTTAAGTGCCATTAATCACAGGATTCTGCATTAATAATTCATTTTCTTCCAATTTCTTAGTTTTTCTATGATAAGTCACCGGAGACCAATGTTCTGTTCTACGTGAAGGACAAGGAGTCTGGCGAGAAGATGGACAGCACGGTGAACGGTGTGTCTTCACATATTAATGAGGAGATTTCATTTTAATGCCCTGTGTGTACACGGCAAGTCCCACTGTGGGGCTTCAGCTGGATTTAAGGAAGCTACCTTTAATCTGCACTTGAAAATTACAAAACATTACTGCACAATCTAACAGCTTTGTACATGAAGGATTCAGATAAATGTATGTTACTGCAGGAGTCACTTGAAATTAGATTGTCCATCAATTTTTCATTGAAGATGCAAGAATATGCTCTTTGAATGTACAATAACATAATATTGTTTTTGTTTCCTCACTATTATCTCTACAGTCACACTGTACAACTGTGCCGTTGAGAGGAACGACTGTAGTCTTTGTAAGAACGCCGACCCAAAGTACAAGTGTGTGTGGTGCAGCAAGAAGCTGGCGTGTGTGTATGAGAAGCTCTGCGATCCTCTCCCCAGCAACACAGAGTGTCCTGACCCTGAGATCACCAATGTGAGTCGTCACAGTGCTGTCATGACTTCATGTTTACCTTTGAAATGGAAACTGTACCTTCTTTAAAATCTTGTGATTGGATGTAAAAACACATTGACTGTGGTGATTGGACTGAGGTCTTCACTGGCCGTGTATTTTTCTTCCACAGAGGAGTTGGGAGTGTGTTTCTCCTTGAGAGTGTGCGGCGCTGTTCCTTAGCACATGTCGATCGGATCAATTCTTTGTTTGTTCACCTAATTGTTCGTGCCTCTTTGTCATTGATAAAAATCCATCAGTAATTGTGTTTATATCATTCTGACAGAGGCTATCACCTAACCGGCTGCAGCCTGACAGACAGAGATACTGCAGATAAATCACCATGACTTTGTATGTTGTTGAGATTCAACTTAACAACTATACAAAGGATTCCAGTGAGATTTTCTGAAGACTTTGAGAGTCTGCAGTGTTGACCTTTATGGTTTTATTATTCATAGACACTTGTGCCCATGTTCAGGTTAAACATATGATAAGGGACACAGTGCAGTAAACATCATACCTGTTATACATTAGCATGCTAGCTTTGTCATTGTGAGCATGTTAATGTTACAGTGCAGTGTGAAGCACCATTATCTCTTTAAGTACAGCCTTGCAGGAATGCTGCACACTGTGTGTGTCTCACATTAGTGTATTTTATTTGAAGTTGAATTCACATTTTTTAAATTAAAAAATTACAGGAAAAATATTCAAATTTCATATTTTACTATAAAATGTTCAATTTATCTCGTCACAAAAATGTTTGTTTTTGTTTTGTATTTACCAGAACATCTGCTTTTATATTTTAGTCAAATTTTCTGACCTACAAATACAATATGGGTCATGTTCAAATACATGCAGACATGCATACAGATGTGACTCATACAGTATTGATGTAATTCTCCACTTGGCCTTGAATGTTAAATACTTAAGTCAGCTCAATAGTGGTTAAACAGACTGTGTAAATCTCTTGTATGTTCTTATTGCACAAATAATCTGGTTAAATCCATTTCCAATCCCTTCTTCCTATAAACACCCTCCTATTGCATCTCCACATCCAGATCAGCCCTCTTTTCGGCCCCGTGCTGGGAGGCATCTCCATCACCATCAGCGGTTCCAACCTCGGCATCGATCAGGGAGACATTAAAAGCATCACGGTGGCTGGGAAGCCCTGCATTCATGAGCCAGAAAAATACTCCGTCTCCAAAAGGTAAAGTTGCCCACATGCAGTTGTGCACTATGCACAGGAAATGTAACCCACCTGGAGGCCATTCAAATGGCATATGGACAGGTTTTATCAAGTCTCTTTTTAAATGTTGTATACTTAACTGTGTTAGGAATACTTTCCTTTTGCTCAGGATAACCTGACTACAGGTTTTAATTAGCTCATTCTACAACTGTATTGATCTGAGTCTCCAGACACAGTTTGATTTAGAGACAGTCACAGTTTCCAGAGGGAAATGTCAGTAGTAGAAGTATTCACTTTTTTTCCTTTTCTTTTCACAAATGTGCAAGACAACAATGTAAAAAAGTCACGTTACAGATTGATTGTTCAGTAAACTTTTTATAACCGTTCAAGCCAGGGTCAGTCTAAATAAAGAGTGGGCCAATCAGCCTTTTAATGATGTTTTGGTTTTTAAGCATATCATTTGAATATATTTAAGTTATTTTCTGGATAGGAACATAAGGCGCAGATTAAAGTGAAATTAAAGCTATAATATTTGCATGTAAAATATAGTGAGGTATAACAGCAGAATATTGAAACACTTTAGTAAAATACAAGTACATGGAAATTTTACTTAAGTTCTGCACTTAAATAAATGTACTGAACTTATTTGCTTTCTGCTGCTACTACACCACTGAATGGCACTCAAGCACTTGCACATGGCTGCTGATTGAGAGGGTCTTCTTTTTTTTTTGCCCTAATGTTGCACACATCCTTTGAGATACATGTGTTCATCAAAGCACTGTACAGGCAGTGCAGAATTATTAGGCAAGTTGTATTTTTGAGGAATAATGTTATTATTGAACAACAACCATGTTCTCAATGAACCTAAAAAACTCATTAATATCAAAGCTGAATGTTTTTGGAAGTAGTTTTTAGTTTGTTTTTAGTTTTAGCTATTTTAGGGGGATATCTGTGTGTGCAGGTGACTATTACTGTGCATAATTATTAGGCAACTTAACAAAAACCAAATATATACCCATGTCAATTATTTATTTTTACCAGTGAAACCAATATAACATCTCCACATTCACAAATATACATTTCTGACATTCAAAAACAAAACAAAAACAAATTAGCGACCAATATAGCCACCTTTCTTTGCAAGGACACTCAAAAGCCTGCCATCCATGGATTCTGTCAGTGTTTTGATCTGTTCACCATCAACATTACGTGCAGCAGCAACCACAGCCTCCCAGACACTGTTCAGAGAGGTGTACTGTTTTCCCTCCTTGTAAATCTCACATTTGATGATGGACCACAGGTTCTCAATGGGGTTCAGATCAGGTGAACAAGGTGGCCATGTCATTAGTTTTTCTTCTTTTATACCCTTTCTTGCCAGCCACGCTGTGGAGTACTTGGACGCGTGTGATGGAGCATTGTCCTGCATGAAAATCATGTTTTGCTTGAAGGATGCAGACTTCTTCCTGTACCACTGCTTGAAGAAGGTGTCTTCTAGAAACTGGCAGTAGGACTGGGAGTTGAGCTTGACTCCATCCTCAACCCGAAAAGGCCCCACAAGCTCATCTTTGATGATACCAGCCCAAACTAGTACTCCACCTCCACCTTGCTGGCGTCTGAGTCGGACTGGAGCTCTCTGCCCTTTACCAATCCAGCCACGGGCCCATCCATCTGGCCCATCAAGACTCACTCTCATTTCATCAGTCCATAAAACCTTAGAAAAATCAGTCTTGAGATATTTCTTGGCCCAGTCTTGACGTTTCAGCTTGTGTGTCTTGTTCAGTGGTGGTCGTCTTTCAGCCTTTCTTACCTTGGCCATGTCTCTGAGTATTGCACACCTTGTGCTTTTGGGCACTCCAGTGATGTTGCAGCTCTGAAATATGGCCAAACTGGTGGCAAGTGGCATCTTGGCAGCTGCACGCTTGACTTTTCTCAGTTCATGGGCAGTTATTTTGCGCCTTGGTTTTTCCACACGCTTCTTGCGACCCTGTTGACTATTTTGAATGAAACGCTTGATTGATCGATGATCACGCTTCAGAAGCTTTGCAATTTTGTGACTGCTGCATCCCTCTGCAAGATATCTCACTATTTTTGACTTTTCTGAGCCCGTCAAGTCCTTCTTTTGACCCATTTTGCCAAAGGAAAGGACGTTGCCTAATAATTATGCACACCTGATATAGGGTGTTGATGTCATTAGACCACACCCCTTCTCATTACAGAGATGCACATCACCTAATATGCTTAATTGGTAGTAGGCTTTCGAGCCTATACAGCTTGGAGTAAGACAACATGCATGAAGAGGATGATGTGGACAAAATACTCATTTGCCTAATAATTCTGCACTCCCTGTAAGTACTGTATATGTCAGTGATTTGATAGTGTCACACACAACTTCTTCTGGTGGTCTATTCATGCTTCAGGCACTACCTCATCCTTCTACCTCAGGTGTTAAATGGACTGAGCGCTGTGAAAAACATTGAATGAACTTTAGGTCAAGTCAAGCAAACTGTACTTCAATAACAGCTGTGTTTAAAAAGTGCTCACTTCATACAAATGGTCTATAAAAGAGAAAACGGCCACATCATTGCCCCACAGCCACTGGCCAGAACTGTTGACACCTGGCAGGATGGAGCCACATTTATGACAAAATCTTGCCCCACCATCTGCATGATGAGACATAAAATAGGATTTATGAGACCAGATGGAAGTGTTTCTCCCTTAAATCATCCACTCTTGGTGCTAAATGCCTCTGTGCTCCTGCTGTTAGTTGTCCTGCGTGTTTGTGCAGCAGGTTGTTCCTCATTTGCCTAAAATCTGGGCAGAGTTTGCATTGTGTTATTTCACTCTTTCACATCTTAGTTGGAGCTGCTGGTTGTTTGGTCATGACCTTCCTGTTGGAGGCGTGCTATGAATGATGACCATTTCATCAGCTCTGCATTTTCCCTCAGAACTGTTTATCACATGGTTTCTGTTAAACTCCAGACATTGACATTCATAAAAGAAAATCCCTACAGGGACAGAAGCAGAGAAATTGTCTGAAGAAATCACGCTACACTCATAGCTGCTTAGTCAAACAAATAATTAAACAGTTGAACCTGAATGTGAACAAACAAAAACAACTGACTGCAGTTTTTTAACTGTTGCCTTATCTACTAAACTAAAACAAGAGTTTTAGTTGTTAACTATGTCAGTGATGGTCTAAAGATTACAAAATCAGACTTCTCCAGTGTTTCCAGTTTGTTCTCTTAAATGGCAAATCCAGGTTCAATAGTTGTGTAGGGTGGACACCCTGTCTAAATGATGAGACCTAAAAAGCACATACAGCTGACTGTCATCTGCATAGACATGATAAGAAATGTCAGTAAAAGATTGGACGATGCCAAAGAAAGGAAATAATATAATATGAACCCTGTGGACCTGGACTGAACCCTGTGGAACCCCACACATGAACCTGCTCATCCTAATAGAGAAAATCCTGTCTGATAAGAAGGAGGAAAACCAACACAGCACCAGAAATATAACCCAAAACCTAGAACCTATTAAGTAAAATGTTATGGTCAATGGTATCAAAGGTTACTCTCAGATGAAGTAAAATGATTACAGAACAAACCCCTGCAGCAGAATCCACTGAAAGACCTTTATGGATAAAGATAGGGGTCCAGTGGTGTGCTGCTTTTGAAAGCCAGACTGAAAAGGGTCAAAAATCTGTCATTTGCATAGTAAAGATTTGAACTGGCTTTCTAAAATCATTTTAATCATTCAAAATTACCAATAGAGCTGGCATCAAAATTGGACTTATTCTGTAAAGAAGTTACAACAGCATGTTTAAAGTAGGATTACCTCAATGAGCTATTAATGAAGCAATGATGGACCAATGCTTGTGAGAGTCCCAGACAGGACAGAAGGAGGAACTAACTGTATGGTCACCATGAGCATGATGAGGTTTCATCTTGCCTTTTACTGCAGTCAAGTCATCTAGTCAAGAAGTAAATGATTCAGGACACCGAGCACCATTGTTACAGGCGGAGGAACCCGAGGAGCTTTTGAAGTTCAGGACCATCATCTTATTTACAAAATGACTGAAAAAACAATCACAATCAGAAAGTAACAGAACATGCAAAGGTGCTGTTGACGGTTTCAAATAATACCCTTGGATTATTCTATTACAGTTTATTATTAAAATAAGAGGATCTAGCTTTTTTTATTGCCTTATTATAAAAGTGAAGAAATTCTCTGAAATATTTACCATGGACCACCCAACCCATGGACTTCCACAGCTACTCTGCTTTTTAAAAGGAATGTCCAAGGCCACAAGTTCAGAGTTATTACCAGTTTTGTAAGGAGTGACCTGACTGAGAATGGCAAGGTAGTGTTCATTAATGGTGGCAGCAAGGAGCTCAACATTATTATCAGAAGAATTAGAAAAATTTAAAAAAGAAGAAAACTTGAAAATAACAGAATCATCAATGAAGCTCCTGCGCTTAACACAAACTTTGAAATAACAAGTACGAGTTACAAGAAAACAAATGAATTTATTAGGGGTGCAACGATACACAAAATTCACGGTTCGGTTCGGTTCGATACTTTGGTGTCACGGTTCGATATTTTTTCGATACAAAAAATGTTCATGCCTTTTTAATTTGTCATTTATTAAAATTATAAATATATATTTTAACTCAAAAGTACAGTTTTTAAATTTAATGTCGCTGAAACAAAAGTAATTTAAAAAATAAATATATCTCAGGGCTCTCAAAATTTCAAAGTCCCTGGTAGCCCTTCGGGCAGGGACTCTTCGGTTTTTGGTAGCCCAAAATAAATGTAAGTGGCCCGAATAAAAAAGAGAGCAATTTTTTGATTGATGTTTTGTTTCCTGTTTTGTTTCCTTTACAATATTATACATTAAAGTATAATATTGTAAAGGAAACAAAACATTAATCAAAAAATTGTTGAAAAACAAATTACAACATTGTATAAAAATTACAATCATCAACTCAAATACTTGGTTCTAATTGAACAGAAATTTC